GCATCTGCTGGCTTTACTTGAAAGCCCTGAGAAGCATGCGGAGAACAGGTATAGGTATACTGTGGTATACTTACTTTTTTTTTAAAGGATTTTGGCAGGGTGCCTTACGAGAGCCACTTAAAGAAATCCTGTGGATAGTTATTGATTAAAAGATGGGAAACCAAAAGTGGGAATAAATAGGTTTCTCAGAAAAGACAGGGAATGTCACCAGATGGGTCCCAAAGGCCTCTCTGCTGTAACCTGCTCATAGGCATAAATGTCCCGAGAAAGGAAACGGAGAGCAAGGATGAGAAATCACAAAGAGAAGCAAATTCAAGGTAATGACTCAGGTGCCTTAAAAGGATCTTGCAATGCTAAGTGGGCGATAAAGTGAAGTTCAGTGTTAAATAAGTGAAAAGTCTAACTATACTTCTCTAACTATACTTACCGATTTATATGTATGTATATGTCTTGTCATTTAGGAAACATTTTTAGAGGGTAGATATTTCTGTGAAAGTGTCATGCTTGGCAGCTGTCAAAAAGACAAACAGAAAGTTGAAAACTAAGGAGGACAGCAATAAAGAACAAATTTTCAGTGCTGCATGCAGTTCTGGTTCTGTCCTATCACAGAAAGCAGATTGTGAAATGGGAAAAAGAGTGCTGGGAACAATGAGAGATACGGAATGGTTTCAGAATAAAGGAAGACCAAATAGACTAGGACGTGCGTCATCTTGTTGAAGTGGTGCGCTAACATCTTCATTTCATTTTTTAGAATGATAATAAAGAAAAAGAGAAAAGAAGGTCATGAGGAACCTGTACAGAAAAAGAAAAAGGTGAAAAGTAGTAGCAGCCAGACTATCATTAAAGTTGAGAAAGATGTTCAAAGTGTCATTAAAACTGAGGATGACGACCAGCTCGAGACAAAAACAAAGGTAAGGAAAAAGGAAAACTTAGAAGACGATGAATGTTTAGACCAATTAGAACTGAAGAAGAAGAAGAAGAAAAACAAGAAAAAGAAAGTTGGCTCTGAATTACTGGAAGAAGCACATTCAGAAAGCTTTGTGAATGTAGAAGGCCATCTGGATTCAGAACCTCAAGAAGAATCGGAGAAACAAATTAAAATTCTCAGAAAGAAGAAAAAAAAAGACCAATGTCATTCCTCCTTGTCACTGGAGAATAATCAGAGTAGTGATACGGAGTTTTCAAGTCATCATACAGATGGTACTAGGGAAGATGAATTTGCTTTTAAAAAAAGCACAAAGAATACTGCTTTGAAGTTGGAATTGGATGGTGAAGTAGCTAAGAAAAAAAAGAAGAAAGACATTTTTACTTTAGCATTAGAAGAGATCCAGGACAGTGAACATATACAGTCTGAAAAAGTTCTTAAAAAACCACACAAATACATTTCAGAAGAAAAAACTGTTGCCGGCAAAAACCATGGAACAGATATTATCCAGAGTGATGAGGAGAGTTATGTGAGAAGAAAGAAGAGGAAGAAAAAGAAAGATAAGTCTGATTCCTTTTTACCACTAGCAGATAATGAGGACAACGTCTATGGAGTTCCTGATAGCCCCACTGCATTAAGTGACTTCAGAAAAAGGCAAAGAAAAAATTTCCAGGAAATTACATTGACAGATAGAAAGGAAGAGGACATTAATGAGAACTCTGGAAGTATCAGAGAGACCAAGAGGAAGAAGAAGAGAAGCAAAGATGTTTCCTCCTTAATATGTGAAGATGATCAAGACTACAGTCACAGAGTTCCTGATAAGCATCTCCCTGCACAGCAAGGAGTTGAGTCTGAGGATGAAGAGCTTTCTGGAAAAAAATGCAGAAAGAATATCAAGGATAATAATGAAGTGATCAAGAAGAAAAAGAAAAAGAAGATTCAGAAAGAGGAGGAGGAAACAACATATTCAAAACTTCCTTTCAACAGTGACAGCGCATCTAAAAGCCAAAAAGTAACACTAGTAGAAAGCAATACAAAGAACAAAGAGAGTGAAATGAAGCGAGCTGAATGTGTCACAGGGGACGTTGTAGATAGGGTATTATGCAATAGTAATCATACACTCTGTGACAGAAAAAGGAAAAAAAGAAAAAAAGAAGTACCACAGGACTCTGCTGAAGAGCCAGGTTCAAAAGCAAATGCAAAAAAGAAAAAGATCAAAAGAGAAGACACGGGAGATGAGGCACTGGTAAGTTGTAAAGAAGAGGGTATCTTTGCACCCTCCTGCTAAGGAACTGAAAGCTTTTTAGGTAGGCAGTTTCCTGTTTTGCAGGCTGTTCTGCCTCTTCAGACCCTTAGGGTACATTTAGGTCAACAGGGGCCTGCTCTGGCTTTTGAGAAGCAGGATCAGCTGATCTACTGATTTCAGCATGTAATAGTTGTGAAACACGGGAAAGTATTTTTTTAATGCCTACTGCTGTAGTCATCTAGCGTTTCAATTGTGAAAATGTAAATATTACAACTAACAGCACATATTGGCACAAAAAGAAAACTAGTATGTACAGTCACGAAAGTTCTTCTGTCCCTCCTTCAGTTGCTCTTAGCAAAGCGGCAACACTCCTATAAAATAGGATTTTAATACCATGTCATTTAACCTGAGCAAGTTGGTAACACTGGCAGCATGAGTGCCTGTAACTGTGTTTGTTAGACTTTCCCTTAGGCTTTTGCTGCTGGAATTGCATAGTGTTAGAAACAAGGGGGAAATTTAGCCAAAACCTGTTGTCTAACTTGGACAAAACTTTAGAGAAAATCCTAAGAATCCTAAGTGTAGACTAGGACTAGAGCATTGATGTGTAAATTCTGATGGAAAAATACTAGAGAACAACCTAAACACAAATTCTTAATTTAAAAAATAAATCTATTCATGAAAATAAATAGATATAAGAGCTGCGTAAATTATAACTGCAGATAACTGAAATTGTATCAAGACTGACTGTTAAAGGAAATCCCATCCCAGAGTCTTGCAGTACTGCCATTTCTGAGGCGAAACAAATGTGGAGAGGAACTGATGAAAGATTTGAAATACAGAGGTTTCTTCCTTGATTTTTTTTTTTTTTCAAAAATCAAACTATTAAGAGCTGGTTTTATTGCTTTAACTTTTTTTTTTAAACTTTCTTCTTTTTTATCTGATTAGGGTCATATTTTAAAGCTATTTAGGTGCCTCAAGTTAGTACCTACATGCCTAACCTCTGTTGTTATCATTGGGAATTAAGCTGTCAGATGCTCAGAAATTCAATAGGTATCTACCTGTATTTTTAGCTGCTTAAACAACTTTGAAAACAGCTCATTGCAAGTCATTAGGAGCTTGTTTTTATATTCATATAAACTGCACTCCAGTTGTTTTTTATCAAGAACTTTGAATGCTTGGCTTGTTTAAAAGTCAAGCACTAGTTAATAAAGCATCATTGAAGATTTTTGTAAACTAGGGATGGAGCGGGCCATAGCACTACCTGCCTCTCAAGCACACTTCGTGGTGTGCTTTGCTTTCTTATGCACTCATATATGCAGTTTCTTCATGTTCTGTGGAAACCTGGCAGCTTTCTGGGGCCCAGTGCTAATAATTAAATATAGATTTATATAAGCAGGTTCTTCAGCCTTCATGGAGACCCAGATACAGGCTTTTTCCACAAAGGTTTGTGTTGGGAGTGTGTATGCTTATCAGTCACTAGGTGAGCAGATGTTTGGGGGTTTTTACTTAGTTTTTTCCTTTTGACCTTTCAAAGGACAAGGTGGTTTTATTGCTGGGATATATTTTCTAATTAAATTGGCATTGAGAGTGTTGGACATTATTTGGATTCTTGCAGCTGCTCACATTCTGCGGAGGCAAGATAAGCCTAACAACGACAAGTAAACTTGCGTGACCAATTACAATGGAAAACACAGCAAATACCTTGCAAACAACTGAGGAGAAGGGTGTAGGGTGATGCATGTTTTGTCTTTCTCATATTCAGCTCTGTCCTTTAATAATAATAAGTACTTCAGAGAAATTCTCCTGAAGATTGAGAAGTCTGGGTAAATCAGTTCTAGAGAAATCCAGCTCCTGGCAGGCCAAAAGACACTGCTGTAATAAATGGCTGATAACGTCGGTCTTGCATTTAACTGTGCTATAGTCCCGAACCATTTTCTGGTCTCACACACACTGCTGCATGCCTTGAAAAATCCCCTGTTGGGCTTGTGCAGCAAGCAAAAGAGTAAGTTTTTAAAGACAATGTGGAGTGATACCCACTTAATATCAATAATCGATATTTTTCCCATTGGATGCAATTACAGTCAGCTTGGGCAGAGTGAGGAGGAGCGAGGACTCAGTTTACTTCTTTGAAATTGTTTGCCTGCAGATAGCATAATCCTACCAGGTGTGAACGTGCTCCCCTTCCATGAAGTTGGGGGAAGACTGGCACGCCTGCAGAGGGGTCAGTTCTTGCCACGCAGTAGCCTTCAGCAGGTCAGCGACATGCTGTGAATTAGCAGGGATGGGGGTGCACCCTTCCTCCTTCCTTGTCTGCCACTTAACCTTCCAGCTAAAAAAAAAAAAATATGTTGCAGCTCTTTGCAGAATCCTGTCACAACAGTTTTCCTGCTTGTTTTAATAGATCTGAAAAGACAGTACCAGGCCATCTAGAAGCAAATTGTTTTTTTGTTTTTGGTTTTTTCTTTTCATCCAAGAGAATGAGCTCTCCTTATTGCAGACAGTGTTCTCACATTTTTAATGGTGCATGTACTTGTGTGTGTGTGAAATCAATGTACAAAAGGTAGCTTTAGAAAATAGGCTAAATCATTCATGGCTTTAAATAAAACTGTAAACCCTCAAAAAATTAAAGCAGCTTCTGCTGACAGAAGTATGTTACAAATCTTTTCCTTGTCTTAGTGTTCCCTGACTATTTCATGCTTGGATTATGATGTTAGCTGTATTAATAGATCTTTCCTTTGGCCACCTTTTCCAGGCCGGTCTAAAGCTTATGGCTCTAATTTACCACTATCCTGGACTTAGTACTTATCCTGTTACACTGGATGCCCCAAAATCTTATTACAAATTTGGAAAAGAAAGGCTCAGGGCAATGATCTGGAAATGCCAGTCAATGGGAGCAAAAGCTGCTGAAGGGCTGCACTTTGTGGAAGAGTTATCAGTATCTGACCGCTTGTGGACTCTGCCACTGATTTACCTCCTGCCATCCTGCCCATCCATCCCTGCTGTAGCTGCTCTGCCTCTTCCCATCAGCTCCCTGTTCCTCGCTCTCAAACGTGGAACTAACATGCTGCTGGCTGCCATTGTAGGAGGTGCTTTATGTATGTGTCACGCCTCTTCTCATGCTCCTTCCAGACTGGAAGCTCCTTGGAGACCATCATCATCTCTGCATTTGTACAGGAGCACAATGCAGCTGCTTCTTGATTGGGTTGTTTGGTTGGGTTTCTTAAGTGGCTATTGGGATCAACGTGCTTCAAGCTTGTCCTGTGCATTCAGAGGGGCCATTATCTTACCACCATTTTTTAAATTTCTTTTTATTTTTTTCCTTTCACTCTTTCTGTCCCTCATCTCAAGTATAAATTTCCACTTTTATGAAACTGTTTAATTTGAAATGACCCTGCCTGCAGATGTTACTGTATGTGCCAATGATGTTGGCAGGTCTATTTTAATGTGTGAATTAAAAATAAAAAATCCCTTATCCTCTTTGTTATAAAAAGGATAATATCTCCTCAAATTTCTGTTGTGCAAGCCTTGGGGAGAAAGTCTCTCCAAAGAAATGCACAGGTTTAATTGGCATTTCCAGCTTAGATCTGACTATTTCTTCTTGCCCCCAAATAGTACTACTGTATTGCTTAGTGTTTTTACTGTCTTTGTGGTCAGAGCTGTGTAAATTCTAATTAACCAGAATGGATAAAAATATTGATACAACCTTTTTCCTGTTTTACAGGAACATGTGGATGATGTAACTGTTGTGCAGGAAAAAAAAGGAAACTGTGATGAAGTTAACATAGACAAGGTATGCTTTGTCTTAACTGCGTAAGATTTAAAGCAAGTCAGCATTTAAGGTATGCATAGAATAAAAAAACCTGCTTGGTTGCTCATCTATGCCAAGATTTCTCTAACTAGAGCTCTGCTTAAAATGTGCTTTACCTTCCATGGCTTAAGTCCAAAATGTACAGCTCCAGTCAATGTCAGAAGCTTGTAAGTAGCTTATTAGGTTAAATACAGGTTTCTTTGCCTCTCATCAACGTTGACAGATTCAGTGTAGCTGTTACCTGCAGTTAGAAGATGAAACATATCTGATACAGCAAAATGTTCATTTAAAATACTCCTAGAAAATCATAGTTCTCAGGTTGAGTGTGTAAAAGGATCTCATGCAACTTTCTAATTATCCTTGCAAAATTCTGAAGATAACGAATTATTTTATTCTTATCTTTTCACTGTGCATTAAATTAACTGCCATTTAACACACAGAAGATAGTGTCTTGTGCTGTTTATTCTGCGTGCTAGGTGAGGCGACAGGCTCTGCAAGAAGAAATCGATAGAGAATCTGGCAAAACCAAGGTTTTCAGTCCCAAAGTGGAACGGGTACGTATGAATTTAGACCTTGGTCTGATGGAAACATTGTGTCCCAGAGAAAGTTCCTGAAAAAAGCACTGCACTCTTCTTTGTATGTGGCTCAGGTACGTGGCTTGGCACAACAGTCTTCCATCTGACTGTAAATTTAAGGTCACGCTATAGAACAAGTTAGTACAATCCCAAGAGAGTCTGGGAGCTGACCAGTGAACTCCACCAGCCGTTGGCATTGTGCGGAGCTCTAATTCCCATCATCAGCCCTCAAAAGCAACATTTTCTTTGGTTCCTCTGGAGAATGAGCCACACCTAATTGCTACAGAAGCATTTTCTGCTTACTGTGAAACATAAATAATTCTAGACTATGGATATAGCAGTCACTGAATTGTATCCAAATTGTTATCTGGAAGACTTTGCAGACATTCAGAAACAGGGGTGCACATGGAAGGGTAAAAGGGATGACAACTGATTGATAATGCATGTGTGTGACATTCACAGTCAGTCCTCTCCTAACTTCCGCATCTTTCCTCCACCTCTTTGAAAGATGATTCTTTATTCTTTGCGTTTGCATCCTACTCAGCCTGCCTCCTGACAGGTTTACAGTAAGGTAGTGGAAACTGTTGCAGTAATGTTTAGCAGGGTGAATAAGATTCAGGAGGAGACAAAGCTTTGCTAGCAATTTAGGATTCTTAGTTGTTTCACAAGACTACCAGTATGCCTAGAAAGTTAGAATATACCTCAAACAAATGCCAGAAACAACTCCTGTAGGTTTTTACATAGGCAGACTACAATAGCTCTGGAACTGCAACTATCTAATAGTCTCTGAAGTCATTAAGAAAAATGACATCCTTGGCAGGGGATCTCAGTTCTTTGGTGCTGATCTGTCTCTGTTTAGTAGTATGCAGAAGAGTAGAAGCTATGAAAACTGATTCATCAGCTTCACACAGAATGAGCTGGAAATGCTGCAGCAAAAGCTATGCGTGGTGCCTGCCAGCAATTCACTTAAAAAAAATTACAGGGTTTGACAAGCCATAATTATTTTTGCATCTGTGCAGATGTCTCCCATTCCAAAGGGAGGACGTATATATATATATATATGTGTGTGTGTGTATGTGTGCGCATGCGTCTGTGTCACAGACCTGGGCTTATACAGCAACTTGTCTTTGAGCAAGGTAAAAATAACAAAGTATTATGAATTGTTTTCTTTTAATAGCAGGTATTCTGGGCTGTGTTAGTGAACGATACACCAGCCTTGCATTTTTTTAACTTAAAAAACCTGCTACAGCTTGCCTGCAATATTGTATAGCATGTTGTGTGTCATGTTGGCTGTCTAGTGGAGAGTGACTGTTTTATGCAAGCTACAACTGTTCAGTTGGAAGGATTTCAGGCTTACATAAACACACCACTAAATTCACATTTTTTCCTTTGATGTAGCCAGCTCAGTCTATTTAATGATCAAACATTCTTCCATTTAATATCACCCCCAATTTTAAAGAAAAAATTGGGAGTAGCAGTCCTGCCAAAAATAGTTATAAATGATTGCATAGCTCCTAGCTATAGCTCAGGAGTCAAATAAGATTCTTAGATAATGAAGCCTGTTCGTAGGTAAGCCAAAAGTTCATAAACTTTGTAAATCATATGATGTATTTTGGGTTATTCACAAACAGTTGAATTCTGATTTTACTTGGACATTACTTACATTCTCAGAAAGGAGCCAGTATCTGCAGACGAAAGAAAAATGCTGAAGGAGTGAACTAGTTCAAAGAATACAGGGAAAGGCAGAGTTAAGGAATGGCAAACTGTGAGGGAGGGGAGGCTTGAGGAGTACTATATTTAGTCCTGTTGGATAAGGGTATGCCCTCAGTTTTTGCACCCTGGCAACATTAGTGGTAATTAGTGGGATAAGAATGCAAATATTACTTAAAGCATACGAGCCAGATTGAACACTGTCTCCAAAACTAACATCACAAAACACTGCTGAAAACAACAGCTACCTAATTAGGCAGTAGGAAAATGAAAAGATAACCGTATGAAGTGATAGAGTGAAAGAGGATTAAGTCTGGCAGTTGTCTTAGAATAAGAGAAATGATTGGGCAATGTCTGGCTCTTTGAGCTAGGCAAATATTATCCAGGGAGCAGAAAAGTCAGGATTCCTACAGACAGAGGGAAAGGAGATTCTGAAAGTGCATTAAGCCCCGTCTCCAGGTTAAATGAAGTGAAATGCTAATGAAGATGCACTCATGCAGGGTTATGTCATTCTTTTATCACGTCCTTCGAGGGGTACTACCCGTGGAATGACTGCTTCCCAGCTTTGTCAGCCCTGTCAGGTTGTAGCTGGTTCTGTTCTCATGGTACACAGCCAGAAATTGTCTTCCTTGGCCTTGGTATTATTTAATTTTAGTGTTAACTTCGTTTTGCTTCACAGGATACAAAGTTTGGCCAGTGGAGCACAGCTGCTTTTCAAAGTTCTGAGGAAGAAATGAAGTTTTTTAGACTGATGGGTGGCTTTAAAAAGGGCTCTGTGCCTATCCAAAATCTCTCAGCAACTACAAACAAACCGAACATGGCTCTGAACAGGGAAGGGGAGAAGAAGTTACAGCAGGCTCTGAAGATGGAATTCGATAAAGCAATGGACTTGAAACAACATAGAGGAATTGGTCTTGGATTTCAACCTGCTGCCAACAAAAAAGTATACATAGACAAATATGCATCTAGATCTATAAAATTTGAAGATTAAAACTCTGAAGTAATAAAAGGAATGAAAATTCGACAGGCAAATTTCTTCTCACTTTCCACATCTTTTTACTTGAAATAAAATATAAAATGTTTAAGAAATTTGATTTATGAGGCACTTTTAGTACAAGTTTTCAACTGCATATGCCAGATTATGTGGAGCTGGGTCCTCACTTCAGCTAAATAGTAAGTTTTTGAAACCTTTACAATGTTTTCTACAAGGCAAGAGACAGCCTCCTTCAAAGATTGAAGATATGTGGGCAATGCCTGCAACAAGTTGAAACTTCACTAGTAAATTTTTTTAAAATGCTGATTTCATAGACTTATTTTTAGCTACATCTTATTGATTCAAAAGGATTTCAGTGTTCTGTAAAATCTTCACATTGTTACACTCATCAAGTAGTACAAACTTGAAGAAACACTACTGGCATACCTACAAATTTGGTGAGGGGGGACTTTTAACTCAGAAAGCAGTTTCATAAATATTAGCATCTTCATTATAATAATGAATAGCGCTGAACATGCTCTGTATTTTAACTATGCTCTGGCAGTTGGATTTTCAAGCAGCAGCTGTTACCTGTAAATGAAGGTAAACGCTTTCTGGATAGCAGCACCAAATATATGGATCTAGACTTCCTAAATTATAGAAAGCAAGGAAATTTTAATAATGTGCTGATTGGGTTCATTACACATCAATCTGAATGAAATTCCTAACCTTTGGATTTTCAGACAACTTGCACTTTCACTGGCTTTTTAATAAGAGTACAAAATATGAGATTGTATTTGCGCATGTTGTGTTCAGAATTCCAGGGTCCAAAGCAGTCTATCAGTGTCTTGCTTGAAGTTCCAAAAAGACAGTGAAAAACTCTCATGTATTTTATTACTGGCTGTGCCATTTGTTATGGGAGACAGCGTTGTTACGTTTTAGTGTAGCTCTGGTTCTTAAGCAGAGGAAGGTGACCATCTCTTACATCCATGCCTGCTGTAGGGTAAGAGTGGCCGACTTGCAGGGGAACCCCAGCCCCCCAGAATTAGGTTACTGTCTCTACTTACCCAGCTCATCGTTCTTCTGCTGAATTACCTGTCTGTTTTGATAAGATCATGCCAACTGAACTACTAAATTTCTTGCTCTTTGAAGGCAAACTCACTTCCCACAATAGTCTTTTCCAGTGGACTGCTCTACCTGAAAGCAGCTGCCTCCAGCAGAAAATACACTTAACAAAGCAGCAGTTGGTCCCAGTGCACTTTGGGCAGCTCCTGAGGGGAAGTAAAAATTATGCAGAGGCTCCAGCTTACGGGGTTGCCATGAATCCATACCTGGGAAGAGAGAGATGCTGAACCACTTCCTGCAGGGTCTGAACTTGTCTTATGAGGAAACCATCTCCTTTAAAGTGTCATTTAAAACCACCACTACCTCAGGGTGAGTCTGTTTTGCATCAATGCTCTCAAAGCTCAGTGACTGGCTTCACCTGGCCCTTCTACGCTTCAGCTGTTGCTTTACTTAAATTGAGGTAGTGGAGGTTCTGTTTTCTCTTCTGATTTAAGACAAATGCTGAATTCAGGCCCTCAGCTACTTGCCTGGCAAAGAAAACCAAGTTAAAATAAAGGAACAGGTAGGAAAATGTCAACTAGTGACTTTATTTAGGAGGAGAGGGCCAGCATGCACAGCTTTCTGCTGCAGAGCCAGTCTTGAATGGGTAGGGACTGGTCTTGCACTGCCACTGACAAAGTTGCTGAAGGTATTAGTCCTAGCCTTGCCTTTGGATAAGGACTCTTTTTCCCATCTAGAATTGCATAATGTATACCAGTGTGTTGCTCGACTATAGCTTTGTGGATGGCCTGGTACCTTGCTCTTGATAATACTGTGCACATGAAAATGTCGTAGTTTGAAAAACAAGACACATACCTGGGAAAAAACCTGTCGGCTTTTTTCAAGCAGTCAAACTTAGTCTGGCCTGTATGTTTGCTATATACAGAAGAAAGAGAAGGTCTATAATAAGTAGAGTGCTTTAACTAAAATTAATTTTGCTCGTAACATGGAAGTAAGCCAAAAGCAGTTTATTAGAGTGGCTGTGTTAGCTTCTAAGCTAGATGTTTAGAGTTTGCTCCTGATAACTAACCAGAGCTTTCTGCCTGTCATTGAGCTATTTTTGCACTAATAAAAACAGTACTAAAACATTTGAAAGCATTTCTCATGGCGGTCTTGCATCAATAAAGAAACCAAAGTTACACTGTGCTCAAAAGACAACAGGCAAAAACTGGTACCTGTATGGGGAAGAAGAACAGTTGGGACATTTGTAAGCCTGCCCTTAGAGTTTCCATTTTACAGAATCTGGAACAACTCCACAGTGGGTTTAGAGCAGTACATTTGCCCCCAGAGGGCAATTTCTGCCATACCACAGCTGCATCGAGTGAGCCACTTGGCAGTTTAGAGAGCTCAGAGTTTAATCCCACTTACCCAGTTTGTGGTTTATGTTTCCAAGCCCAACAGGAAGAATCATCTACGTGCTGTTGAGAGTTGTTTTGTGCAGCTGTAGTAAGAAGGAAAGCTAAATTAAAGTGGGACATGACAACGTGCCGTACTATCATTTCCTTATCTTTGTGCGCTTTATACAGAATTATTTAAGGAAAGTCAGTATAATTAAAATAGCTAGGTACTAAGGGTTGGAAAGGTTCTGTATCAAGTTGATACCACTTCATAATTGTCTTGTATTCCTGCAATTTTACTCGGCTTACACATACAGTCTGTACCAGGACCAAAGGGTCCTAGTTCAGTTCTTTACAACCTTAACACAAAATAAATATTTTAGATGTACCCTGCTTCAGTAGTCACTGAGGAGATGAAAAACATGCAACAAGAATGGTTTAATAATTTGGGTGGTATTTATTATCCGCTTCCTAACTCCTTAAATATATGGTTCTAGCAAAACTGATTACTTGTTTTGCCCTAACAAAATAAAACATTTTTGTGCAAAAATATATCTTAATATCCATATAGGGATTTAGCTCATTAAAATACTTACCACTGAGCAAAAGCAGCAATAGATGCAAGGTCTTAACATGGTTCCTTACCACAGGACAGAAGTAGTGAGAGTAAAATTTATTAGGTGTAATAGCAGTACATGTAACTAAATTCCACAAGGGTAAGGTGATAAATTCGTATACGCAAAGAAACTCCCCCAGAACAAACAGATGAACTGCAAATTGTTTTATTCAGTGATACAGTGTACTTTGCGAATATAGAGTACTTTGCATACATTTCCATTTTCCTTTGCAGACAGCACTTAAAATATTCCTTCCATTTTACAAAACACCATTGAACTAAAACGAAAGCATAAACATGTCTGGGAAAATGTATTGTACAAATTAGAACAGTAACACCTTGGCCATTTTTCTCTTTTACTGGAACTGACCAAACAAATGTTGGCAGCATCGCAAAGCAGATAGATGACTTAGTAGGATTATTATATTGAAATGCTGCTTTCTACACAGGAGAAAGACTATTCTAGAGGTGGGATGAAGTTTGGAGGCTGTGAATTGATCCGTGCAGATTATCTTCTTCCTTTGTTGCTAAAATGACAACAGATTAGATTTCAAAAGGCTTTTGCAATGATAGAGGTTCCAAATACCCTTTACTGAATCTAAATCAGCATTTAAAATAAGAATATTGTGGTAAAACTGGAAACAAAAATTCAGGTTAAATTATTGCACTCAGAACAGTTTTACTTTTACCTGTGTCCAAGTAAATCTGTCACACTAAGTAAAATGAAAATACACTGAACTCCTCCAGTCAAAATCTAGATCAGTGATTTTTGGCCTTGGCTACATGCTCTCTCGCACAGATGACTCCTTGGAAAAGAGGCATTCATCAAGTCCTGGACTGCAGAGAAAGCCGAAGGGCCAAGTCCGTGAAGTGACTCATTTCAGGTTGTTTGCTTCGCCTCTTGATGTATTCTAGCGTTTTCACCTGAGCATGAAAAGAAAGATATTGGAGATTTTTACTGTCTTTGTCTTTTCTCATTTCATAGACCATCATATAATCTACGTGAAGGTGTTTTAACAGACACTCTCATAATTTCCCCTAAATTTCACTAGCTACACAAGCACTAGCATTTCTTACTCCAGAGCTCGTTAATCATGTCTATCTTTCTTAAAGGCTCTAGGATGCCCACTTTCCAAGATTACACCATGCAGTTCCTCCACTAAATAAAAATGCTGTATTTCTCTTAAAGATAGGTTTCTGTACTGAAAAAAAATTATAGTACCCAACGTTTCTAGGGTCCTTAATGTGTGAAATACATTTAAAAGTGCTAGACAGATACAGACCACTTGAAATAAAAGAACCTGCTTGTTCATTAAGAAGCATTTAAAAAAATAAGGTGTTTTTTTAGCGCATTTTTTTTTAAGAGAGCAACTTGTAAAGAGATTAGGTTTATTCAGATCAAGAAAATGTTACCTTTTCCCAAATGAGGAGTTGAAAAAGATCTGAAGAACTAAAATTTCTCTGCATTATCTGTTTTCCTTACCATAGTCTTGGTGTCAGCAAAGCCATGTTTCTGAGCAAGATTCCAGAGATTCACTGAAAGCTGGTTTAGTTTGTTGTTCCGTAGATCCCCATGAGCTAGAATAGTGTTAAAGAAATAGAGTGCCAACTGACTCTGTCGCTTTAGGGTCTATAATGAAAAAAAAAAAAATCCTATATTACCATATAGTCATCCCAAAATATCCAGCATATCCTCTCTGGGTTCTCTGAACTCTTACAAGTGCGAGGGGCACATACTCGTTCTGTAACACACAGCAACAATTACAGACACAAGAATGCAGGCATAGTTTCCATGTTCCATTCAAAATGCAACAAGTAGTGATAGTCATGGATCAACCTAAATTGCTGTAAATAAAATAATTACACAAGATTCCTACATCTCGTACCACTTTGGCACAGCACAGTATTTAGCTCTGACACATTCTTTTAATATATCTATCTATAATATTTTTTAGAGAGAC